GTGGAAGGGAGGTTTCCTGAAATCCACACAAATTATAAAAGAATCTTCCAGAGGTCACAAATCCCAACTTTTGCAATGAAGTCAGTTAAAAAACGTTAATGTTGACTTACCGTAAGGTAACAATATGGTGAGGTGCATAGGAATGGTGAAGCCTGGCCGTGAGTTCCGTTAGGATGGAGCTCAAGTCGGGCTGGTTTGGGGGACCTCGGACGTACAGAAGCCACTTGTGGGTCGACTTGTCCATGCGAGATGCCGGGGGGGCATATTTTGATGTGTTACCTTAAAAAGTTACAATTAATTATTATTGGTTTTTTTTTTCCATTTATGTTTATCAAAATTGTCATACACATATTTTAGAAAAGATAGATTGTAACATATACTCTAAATGTAGTATGCATATGGTAAACTTCAATAAATAAATAATGAATAAGTACAAAAACACCAAAATAGCAGTAAGGGGTTTAACTTTGGTGCATAAAAAGGATATATATTATACAGTAGTATATATCTTGATATTTAACATTGAGGCTTTGGTGTGAAGTAAAGTACAAAGTACAGCATAATATAATGTGTTTAAAATATATTTAAATAAATAACAAATAAAAAAAGAAATAATAAAATAATTTCCTTTTTACGTGCGCATTTTAACATTCGTTCGATCGGTGAAGGAAAACATCGTGAGGAAACCGGCTTGCCTTAAGAATCAAAAAGTCGACGGCGTGCGTCAGGCACAGGAGGGTGATCACCTACTTGTCTATTAACAAATGATCATGAAACAGATACAGAAATCTGAGGCCCAGACCTAAAAAGGTAGTAGCACCACTGATTTATTTTATTTTTTTCCTTTCTATTTACATATGTCATAACCCTTATCCGTGATTTAGTTAGCTGGCTTAGGATTTTTCCTAGACAAAATACTCACCAATAATAATTCTATAACGATGTTTCATCTTATTCCTAGTGGCTTCGTGAAGAGTGACTACATTTTCTACTTTAGGCTCAATATGGCGAGGTATCTTCTTGGGTTTAGTGGTTGAAGGCTCGGCGATCGGTGGCTCTTGGCCCTCAGGTCTCAGGGATTTTGTAGAGTCAGCAGATATGGTATAATTACGGGTTTGGACCATTGCCTTTTAAATGTTAAATGTCAATTTTAGCTACATAAAATAGATACACATTGAGACAAATATGAGAAATATGCAAGCTATAATGTTCGTGTCATGTCAAAATATAATGTAGTCCAGTAGACAAATAAAAAGTGTAAATTTATCAACATCAAAAATATACAATATTAATTAAGAAAATTCAATCAAGCTATGTTTGCTCTAAACCGGTATTTAAAAAAAACTCATGGAACTTTTAAAATGTAAAATAAGGTCTCAAATTCAAGGGATTCAATAAAAACATAACAAAAGAAAATTATATTTATGGAAAAAACAAGCTTGAGTTATATGTCAAAAAAAAGTTGTTAGTAATTAAAGGTATTATTGCTTCGATTGTTGCTAGATGTTTTCCTAAACAGCAACAAAATCAAATAGTAATATGAAAATGGCAAGTTTTTTTTTAATTTTAGGTTTTATGAATATTTTTTCAATTTTTACACAAGTGATTCATGTAAAAACAGACATAGCTCTTAAATGGTTATATAGCTTGCTTTGCCACATACACTTTAACATATTTACTTACAGAATAATCTTTTCTGGAATTTCTGGGCCCTCTGAACTTGAAAATCTCATCCAGATCAGCGGTTTTCTTTCCCAAAAGTTTTCTTAAAGACGGATGCAACCTTCTCTGACTATCGCGCAATAGATGCGCCACCTCAAATGATACCAAATAGATTAAACAACTTGCCTATGGACTACTAAAGTATCAATTAATTATGACAATAGTTTTTTAATTGTAGGTATTACAATGGTTTTGAAGCGCTCAAGACTGTCAATGATACTGGACTTAAAATTCTGTGCTTGGCTAGACAGCTTCTGTACACTCCATTTCTACTGTAGAATTATGCTTTATAGAATAATAATATTGTTAAGGTATTGCAGGTTACCTCTGATTTAGCTCTAGGTTCTGTCTGTGCTGCAATGTCATCTGCAATATGGCTGTATGACAGTTGCAACTTCTGTTCTTTGTAGTAATTATTCACCAGAGTATATCTCAGTTGATGTAAGTAGCGGCGGGCTGTTGACATTCTGTAACATATAATCCATGTCACTATAATTCTTTACTACTTGATAAACGTTCATGTGTTTTGTGAGTTGTAATTATTGATTGTTAACATTAAAACCAAAGTTCTGTCAGGCCTGAACTTTTATGGCACCCATGACAATATCTTTTAAATGTTTTACTTCTTAAACTCAAAAAAAATTGTACACAATAAATATGAAATGAACCTAATAAGTTTAACTTTTAGATAAAACTTATGCCAATTTGTGATATATACAGTGATGATAGTTTTTTTATTGGACAGAGGGCAAAGGATAAGCAGACAGGTCACTTAGAT